CTGCTCACTTCATGTTTCCATTTCATGCACACGCGCTCAACTGTCCCCGACAACACAGCGTTTAAATCGCATCCAACACCATCATTAGCTTTCTTTTTCAGTCTCCCAAACACAGTGAGCAAATTTAGGCATCGCTTCTTCACGCATTCGCTTGAATTAAGAGTGAGACATCGACCACTTCAGAGTTAAAACACTAATTATACCCCCGAAAAGGGCCCAAACACATTTCATTTTCAGAGGCACGTGTCAAACTTGATTTCGTTTACTCCCGCCCTTTTCAATTTTCATGACACTTGCCGAACATCCCATGGCAAAAAAAAAATGTAACGACTCAAGGGAGATAATTCAGAAATACTGCATATCCAATAAAGACGGTTCCGTGTCTCAGTTACCAATGATTTCTTATCTTTAATTTTACGCTTGACCCTGAATAACTCGAACATCTGCAAGTCAAATTAATTTTTTACTCCTTTCCACATACAGTATCTTCAAGTAAGTTTCACACATCCTCACGTAAGACAAGCACCCAGGGTTTTCAGTTTGAAATTTTGATAAAATGGACAAAATCGTATCCCCTCATGTGAGGCATCCCATTTCCATAGAGCTGCAATATTTGGAAAATAATAACACTGAAATTTGAATTTAGACATGGATCAAACCTGAATTAAACCAATTTTAAATTTTTTCCATAAAATATTATTTTTCTCTCATAAAATTGGCCCGCAATTTCCCATTAGAATCAAGTACAATGCACACCTGAACTTTCAATTTTCTTTTTCAATTGTTCACCTGACTATGACATGCACCCTCTTTCTTCTTCAACTCGGAATTTTGAAAAAAAAGTGCGTGTTGTACTTGAGTACATTTAACAACATTAGCATATCCCCTTTCCGTATTGAATTTTTCTTTCAATTCCCTTAAAAACAATTGCACTAAAAGTCTAAAACTAAGCCCCAGCTCAAAGGCTTCCAAGCTTTCAAAAGGCTTTTTGGCTATTATTTTTTCGGTCCAGGAAATAAAAAAAGCAATAAAAGTGTAACTTGATATTTTTTTGAAAGAAAGAGAAGGACTAGATGTGCATATGAACCCTTGGCTCCAAGTTCAGCACCAGTGAGTTGATTTACAAAGCCTTTCTATCCATAATACTGTGTTAGCAATTTCAGCTTCCTTCGATTCTTGTTGCATTCAAGGCAACGTTGGTATCTTTCCCCAACTCAAAAACTCCCTCAACAAATCAGTCGGCTGGTCCTTCGGGAAATTATAGTAGTTTAATTATGTGAATGTTTAGCATTGCATTACTTCACGAAAACTCACAATTCTCTAATGATAAAAAAACAAAATCCCAGTCCAGTGCAACGTTAGACTGGGATATGTTAGTATTAACGATGTTGGTTATCTTTTCATATGAAGATAACCAACAGAGTGATGGCTAACACAAGGCATGTCATTAATCTCATGTGCGTTGCTCCACCGGTTCCAATAAGCTCCGAGAAACATAAATATTTTCCAAATTCCGAGGAAAACAAAAAAAAACTCTTGAAATGCGAACGACTTTCTCGCAAACCCACATCTCAAAAAAAGATGACTCTTCCATCCCAGTCAAATGAAAGTTCACTACTGCACAATCACAAGTGATGAAATGGCTTCAGGGTAAAGAGGACCACGGACAAATAGTTTTACGACCAATGAATAATATCAAATATAAATCAGGCGGGCGACTGAATTACCGTAATCATATCGGAACTGCCAAAAATGCTTCCGCTTCCGAATCGCGAAACTAACAGAGCAAGGAACATTGAAGACAATCTAGGAATTCCAGTTATGCTCAGGAAAACACGAGGGATGATTCACAAATAATTTCATTGCTCACACATTTAATTTCTTCGGATACTTGAAATTCGAAGAACCATTTCACAAAAATCCTATCGAGTCTCCCCGACTTGGTTCAGCGATTTCGTATGTGTACGAATAATTTGAATACAATAAAGGCAACATGCATTCGCTTATTTATGAATCTGATCAACGTACGTTTAAACAACATCTAGTCTCGAACTCTCACACACCGTAAAAAAAAAGAGCCTTCATCAATCGAATATTTTTAAAGTCCTACGTCAAATTCTTTCGTCTCTCCATCTAACTTTTCTCGGGAACAATGCGTCAAAAACTACCCAACTAGATGGATTTCCCCTTCAAACATCCACAACTCGAATTTTCTTGAGTCCTTTTGACTATTTCTTCATCGACAAAGAGAATAGAAACACGCTAAGAATATAGAGTAGTTTGATGAGTTTTTTAAGGAATTGCAAGACTAATCGAATACACCCTTGCCTATTCAGCATCTCGTCAAGTTATTGAAGAAGCAATTCAAGACCTAGAGTATCACCGAATACAGTTTCTCTTTAATTCCTATTCCTTTCGCCGAACAATGCTTGTTTCCAAAACTCGGGTATTTTCGCTGGTCCCTCGTAGTTCGACTGAAACTTTTCATCATTATTTTCAATACTGTATTTGGAAGCACTTTTGATTTATACAACACGCAAGCGATGAAGGCCAATCTTAGTTCCTCGCAGCGATGCAATAAAACTTACAACACTGAGACCATTCTGAACTCACCAAATGGCGCAACAACAATTGGAACCATACCCTCAAACAGATCAACTAACACTGACAGTACACTTGATCCAATCCTCACATGTTTTTAGTCAACAAACCAAAACAAATTCCACGTTCCCCTTCGCCAAGTTAATATATCGGTTAGGTACTCAACAGAACCCATCACACAATCCCCCCCCGACATAAGCACTGGAGTAGAAGCAAGAGAAGACTTAGCCATGAAACGTCAGCTGGGATCACGTGAGACCCACAACAACAATAGGATCGCGACCCAGGATTAATTAGCCTCCGATTTGATTAGTCACACACACACACACGGGGTCACGTAAACGGTCGGTTGCCACGAGGCGATAATTAATATTTAAAAATAGAGCAAAAAAGGACACAAAAAACTAAACATACAGACACCAACACACACACACACACAGAATTATGCTCCACTTACTCATCATCGGATCTGCCGGCAGCCACGGAGCTGAGTTCCCCAAGGTTCGAAGAGGGCAAAAATGAAAAGAGGGAAAAAAGCCAAAATGCCGAACATTAGAGAATGTCCGATAGCAAAAACCGGACGGCAACACTTTTCTCGCTTTCCTTTCTATCTGTCTCTTCATATATAAAAATTAAAAAAAAAACTGACCACATCACATCACTTCACAGCAACGACGTGCGTTTGTCGAGTAGGCAGGGAAGTTGAAAATCATGCCAGGACAAAAATACTCGTCTACGAATTACTTTTCAACACGTGAACCCACGTATCAAAGAACTTGAGCAACTTCGTCAAAAAACTGTCCTGTGGGTCATCTGAAGACGCTAAAATAAATTTCAGAAGTTATTTCTTCGCACCAAAAGATAGCTTACACGAGTTCACGCTGGAAGAATAATTCAGATGATGTAAGGAATGCAGTGGGACCCAAACGCATGGACATTCTGACACACGGACGATTCAAATTAAGGACACTTGAAACTTTAAAAAACTGCCCCAACATCTAGAACAGGACTTGATAAAGGGACACTTTCCCAACAGACCTGGAAAATATATACAGTATCTCCTTTAATTCGGCATTTCTTGAACAAATTGCGTGTAGTATTGCATACCGTATTTTGTTAAAAAATTAAAAATAAATTATTTCGAAATCACTGCAGCTCATACTCCAAAACATGATTATTTTGTTTCATTTTTCAGAGTTTTTTCCATCACGTATTCGTATCCCAAGTATAGCTCAACTTTTTCTTTGCTTCTCAGAGCTGTTCTTGATGCCATAAGATGATATTCTTCATGGTTTTCTTTTGCACAAATATTTTCTGCATGTTGAAGTTGAGAAACAAATTTTTATCAAATTTTCGGGGATTTTGTTCCGTATTTTTTAATGAACAGAAAAACCTATCAAATATGTTCCTATTGAAGTCCACGGGAAAAACGTGATTCGACACACAACAGAGGGAGAAATAGCACAAATAACGTCAGTATTTCGGTGCCCCACTGCATGTCCAAATTTACATTAAATTCCTTGTCTTTTCCGTTTGCAAAAAAATCAAATCGAATACGTGGGGAACACGTGTTTCGCCTAGCATGATTTTCCTTTCTCAACTTCCGAACCTCCCCATGCATGTACAGTACTCGACAATTGCAAAACACACCATACGGTATGATTAATATTCTGCACACGTTTCAAGCCCTTCAAATTTTCCTGCAGCCTTTACCACACATGGGAGGGAGGAGGAAGAAAAAGGGAAGTAAAAAAATTAAGCCAACTATTTTGAGTAGTATAGAGCAAAAAAGGACACAAAAAACTAAACATACAGACACCAACACACACACACACACAGAATTATGCTCCACTTACTCATCATCGGATCTGCCGGCAGCCACGGAGCTGAGTTCCCCAAGGTTCGATGAGGGCAAAAATGAAAAGAGGGAAAAAAGCCAAAATGCCGAACATTAGAGAATGTCCGATAGCAAAAACCGGACGGCAACACATTTCTCGCTTTCCTTTCTATCTGTCTCTTCATTAATAAAATTTTAAAAAAAACTGACCACATCACATCACTTCACAGCAACGACGTGCGTTTGTCGAGTAGGCAAGGAAGTTGAAAATCATGCCAGGACAAAAATACTCGTCTGCGAATTACTTTTCAACACGTGAAACCACGTATCAAAGAACTTCAACAACTTCGTCAAAAAAACCGTCCTGTGGGTCATGTGAAGACGCTAAAATAAATTTCAGAACTTATTTATTTGCACCAAAAGATCACTTACACGAGTTCACGCTGAAAAAATAATTCCGATGATGTAAGGAATGCAGTGGGACCCAAACGCATGGACATTCTGACACACGGACGATTCATATTAAGGACACTTGAAACTTTAAAAAAAACTGCCCCAACATCTAGAACAGGTCTTGAGAAAAGGGCACTTTCCCCAACAGACCTGGAAAAAATATACAGTATTTCTTTTCATTCGGCATTTCTTGAACAAATTGCGTATAGTATACTGTATTTTGTTCAAAAAATTAAAAAAAATAAATTATGTTTCAAACTCACTGCAGTTCATAATCCAAAACCTAATTATTTTGTTTCATTTTTCGGGGTTTTTTATATCGCGCATTCGTACTCTAAGTATAGCTCGACTTTTTTCCCCCCTTCTCAGAGCTATTTTCTATGCCGAGAGATGATATTCTTCGTGGTTTTCTTCTGCACAAATATTTCCTGCATGTTGAAGTTGAGAAACAAATTTTTATCAAATTTTCGGGGATTTTGTTCCGTATTTTTTAATGAACAGAAAAACCTATCAAATATGTTCCTATAGAAGTCCACGGGAAAAATGTGATTCGACACACAACAGAGGGAGAAATAGCACAAATAACGTCAGTATCTCGGTGCTCCACTGCATGCCCAAATTTACATTGAATTCATTGTCTTTTCCGTTAGCAAAACTAAAATAAAGTACGTGAGGAACACGTGTTTCGCCTTGCATGATTTTCCTCTCTCAACTTTCGAACCTCCCCGTGCATGTACAGTACTCGACAATTCCAAAACACACCATACGGTATGATTAATATTCTGCACACGTTTCAAGCCCTTCAATCTTTCCTGCAGCCTTTACCACACATGGGAGGGAGGAGGAAGAAAAAGGGAAGTAAACAAATTAAGTCAAATATTTTCAGTAGTGCATTAACTGCATTTGACGAAGACGACTAAAGGGCGGAGAAAAAAGTTACGATCTTTTTTCGTTTCTAATCGGCTTTTTTCGGACTTTCCTCGTCACAGTCGTTTCTTACCGAAAAGACTCTGGTTGAACATGGCCTGGTTGTTTTGTGCGGCAGCCGCCGCCGCGGCGGCTTTGGCAGCCGCATCAGAGCTCGACTTGCTGGAAGTCTTTCCTTTGGAAGAGCCTGCCGACAGGGAAAATCCCGCGGCGGACTTCTTGTCCATAATCCTGCAGCGTCCACCTCAACAAGAGAACAACAACAACAAAAGAACGGTTACGTGTTTCCTCTTATTCCACTCGCTCGCTTCCTTTCTCCTCTTCTGCTTTTTATATAAGGAAGAAGAAACAAGTGACCTACGCGCTGTGTTTTAGCACCACACCGGGGGGCCGTTGTCCCGGGCTCTGATCCAGTAAGGTAAACGGCCGTATAGTGCAGTGCCCGTGAGCTACGGTTCACACAGCGCATTTCTGCGGGAGTCTGCCGAGACTCCGCCACATGACCATCTGGAAAAAGAGTACACATACTTTCGTCAGCACGCCAATAAAAAGGAACTGTGTCCGCAACTCGACAATGGAGCAGAAATATGAGCACCAAACGCGTCACCAAGGTTGACTTCAGAATATTCGAGCACGAAACGAAAACAGCGCACATCAAGAATAGCGATCGCCACCATCAAGACAATCGCGAATGGTAACTAGATTTCAATAGTACAGTACCAAAAACTACTGAGAAGTACTTTTTCTATGCCTAATTCTTCAACTTAAGTAGTTGGCACATCATTATGCTGTCTGAGAATCGAAATCCGAGCTATGTTTCGAACTCCTTGAAGAACACTCAAAGGGTAAAATGCAGGAAGTAGTGACTTCCTTTACCAAAGTGTATCGTCCTCTGCTGGACATCTGTCTTTCTTTCACTCGATTTTCAAGAGTTGAGTCAAACGATTCCAGCATCCCACGGATTTTTCGTTGCGTGATTTTTTCAAGTCACAAAACCACTCATATTAACACGATTTCCGTGGAGGTCATACTTATTCCAACATCCATACGTGAGCGGGACGCTTCACTTCATCACTGAAGGCACGACCCGAGGTTACCGTGAAACGAACGAATTCCTCCCGTCACCATAGAAATAATTGAAACAGAGTTCCTCTACTGGCACAAGTTATGGCGAGATTCATGCGCGCCGCCATGATTTTCAACACTCCTGCAATTTATAACTGGAAGATGAAGTAAAGAATCTCCTACCAGTAAACCCTCATTTTCAGCAACACTGACCAGTGACTCCCATATGCTGGCACTGTTCAAGCTATGAAAGTTAAAGGTGTTTCACTCAGCAAAGTTAGGGCAGACGTTACAGCCCTAACATAATACAGTCTATTACTGTGCAATGTTGACCCTATCATTGCACAGTTGAATACAGTACTGAGTGACACCAGCAGGTATTTTAATTTAACATATAACTAACATAACCTGATCTAACCAAAAGTGCCCCTGGAGTCAATTTTTGATGGACTTCAAAAGTTCAAATTCAACAAGAACTGACTTTGGTGGTTAGGTTGGTGTTTAGGTTAAGTTAGGTTAGATCAGGTTACATAAGTAAAAATATCCTTCCTGTGCCACATTATTTGGCCAATGTCACGCAGTACTTCACTGTACAATGTTAGGGCACTTTAATACAATGTATTCATTGCACAGTGAAATACTCTGCAACGTTACAGCCCTAACATGTACAATGTTAGGGCACAGTAATACAATGTATTCATTGCACAGTGAAATACTCTGCAACGTTACAGCCCTAACATTGTACAGTGAAAAAGCTGTGCAACTTTACCGCTACTGCTGTTGCACATCAACCAATTGTGAAGTTTCACAATCATACAGCATGGACAGACATCACCAACAGACGCCAAAACAAAAAGACCCAGGAACTAAAAGTCACTAAAAATTTGGTGCAAGCCTTTCCGAGCGATACAATTTTATAAGAATTTTTAGACTGAAAAACCTGGGCATGTGCTTTAATCAAGGGCGAGTGTAACTTGAGTGAAGATGGTATAGCATTCAAATATTTTCAAAATTCCTGGGACATACAAGATTTGCAGGTTAACGTTATTTCCTTTCAGTTGGAAAGCACCTACCTTACCAAGTCACTCATTCCGTATACTAGAATTGCCTGAGAAAGTACTGTAATGTACAGGTATATTACAGTATTTTGTAAAGTTCAAGAAAAGGTGTGAAACTCTGGCATAAATAGGATTAGGGCACAAAAATAGCAAATGTAGTAAGAAATCAATTCAATGTTCTTTTGTTCTCCTTTCTCAACGATTTTTGTATCAACACACACTGATTTGTGACGCGTCCTCCTCGAAAACACACTCACCTGCCCTTGCATCTCTAGAAAACCTCACACACAGCAATTATAAAACAACACCTTGCCACTGCAAACACACACACACACATACACTGAAACGCACTTCCTGGGACTTTCGAGACCGACACACACACTTGAGAGAGAGAGAGAGAAATTAAAAAGACAGGGCCTCACACTTTTTTCCACACAACATACCTACGCTCCCACAAACAAAAATATGCACTCGTCATCCGCAGCGATTTTCGTGACTAACACCAACTACTACAACTACCCACACCTCCGAAGAAACAAGAATAAAGGCACACGATTCGGTTCCGTTCCGTTTCCTTCCGCCTCTCGCGCTCCTCTGCGATGACACCCAACCAGAGATTCCTTCCTTCCCAACAGGAATGAGGATAACCCCACACATATCTTTCTGCACACAAGATGGTGTGTCGACGTGTTTGGTATTTATAGGCACTCCCCCCTTTGCACTGACGTCAACTCATCTCTCCCCCGCCTCGTGGCCAAGGAAGCGTCTTGCTATTTGCTTGTCCAGGGTCAGATGCAACTGTGGACACAAGTTTGTACGATCTGTGCGAGGACTGGAACCACTTCACATTTTCAGTTAGGAATGAACATGGCACTTTCACTGAACGCATTTTTTTTACCGAATTTTTAATCTTGGAGTATCTCAAACGTATTTATTCATGTGAGTAATGCCGCACGTCAGGCCGTGTCCTGACAACAGTAAGTGATGCCGATGATGGGTGAACTGCATACGCCGCGAGTATTTGCAATTTCAAGGACAACTACGGCTAATCCTGAATTTGACTGTTTTTTTTTTCACGATATCAGTACTGTATACTTACTAGCGTACAATACTATACCTAATCTCAAGAATGAGAAAAGATATCTAATATCCCGACAGCAACCCGTGAACCTCGATAACTCGAACTTTCCTACGTAAAATTTGTTTCAAGTCCCTATCTTGAATTATCTTAGAAACAATGCAATGAAAACCTCCCCAAATCAAAAGGCTCTCCCACTATCACCTCCATAAAACCGAATTTCTGGGGTCTTTCCGGCTATGATTTCATTAACACAGGAATAGGAAAATAATCGATAAAACAGTAATGATCTTGTTTTGAAACAAAGTGAGATGGCTAATTCGGTAAATGAACCCTTGTCTCAAACTCCAGCATCTTCTGAACTCGTTCATGGACAAGAATATTATTAGTTTTCTGCAATTCTCCTCCCTTTCCGGCAACAAAAATGCTCGTTTCTCCAACCTCCACATGTTTTTTCCTGGTCCCTTAAAATTCGACTGTTTTTCGGAATTGTAGGTTATCGTCGCGTGTAAAAGCGCATCTCAGGAGCCTCCTATTTCACAAAACACGTTTGATGGACTAAATATCACACATTTCACTGAAGAATATTTTTTCCGACGCGTTCTCCAGATCGATCACAATTCCAAATGCCACTGAAAAAATTATTTGTTTCCAAAACTGCGAATAGCTTCTTTCTCTTAGTACGATTACAAGTACAGTACCGCACATAATACGCAAGAAATTCGGCGACGCTCACAGGAACACTTCTGAAATCAAACCCACGTTTCCGGCGAAACCGCCAAGTTCGATCTGCAAGATACAAATTCGAGTCAAAGGTGGGTACATTCTCGCTCTCTTCTTCACCCGGCTCACTGAAACAAAAGAAGAGATGACGCGTGGAATGGAACACGGCGCAAGGAAGCAAAGGCCATTCGACGATGACGAACCCACGCTGGACACAGAAAAAAAGAAAGAAGACGAACAACAATAATAAATTACCACCACCCCCCCACCAACAAGAACAGTACAGTACAGCATAAGTATTCCCCGGCACGAGAAGAAGGGGACCAACAGCAGGCAAGGAACCGAGCAGTTTCGGGAATAAAAGGAATAGATGATGGTGGATGGGGGCGAGGATTAAGAAGGAAACACACAGGCATCCGCTCACTCACTCGGTTGGAAGGACCCGACCGAGTATTTTCCTCCATAATCCCGCTTTTGATCAAACGCTAGTCGAATTATCCCTCCCCCCTCTTGGAACCGAAAACCAGCGACCGACCGACGGATGGACAGACCGTGCTCACCTACACCCTCTCAACTCATCTCTCTCTCCTTAAATCATCATCAACCAACCGTTGTCTCCCGTTTTCTTTGTCTCCCCCCCCCCCCCTCCTCTCGCGAGTCACGAAGTTGTTCGCGCTTACACACACTCACACCGAGAGAGAGAGCACTTCGATACAGCTTACCACCAACAACCAGGAACGCACTCTACTGTACAGTATTCGGAAACGTTTGATGACCGCGCGTTTCCAACAACTGATGCGAGAGTCTGCATTAGAGCATCAGACCACAGCACGTGAACGCGTCAACACACACCAAGCCCAGGAATATTCCAGAACACCGCAGCGTGGCACGCAGAGCTCCTTCCGTGAAATCCAACATTGAGAGGGGGATCTGATTCTTCCTAACCAACACAGGGAGGAATTGGGGGAGTGACTATTGAGTTAACTCAACGGTGTATCGATGAAATGTGAACCAAAATCCCCCACATTTGTAAACGAGATTCAAGGGCTTATAGCACAGGTGGGATTTGGATCTGATGATTCACCCAGAAAGTGGTACACAAACCCTATCCTGTCCTTCAACTTGTCGTTAGTATAAACTCTCAGGAAACGTGTGGCTCATAATGCAGTGGAATCTCGTTCCAACGAATTATTGCCCACAACGGATTTTTTTCTCAGAATCTGCCCAATATACACAATGATTCAGTATTTTGATTTGTTTCCGACAAAGTTTTGCTTCAAACACAACTTTTTTGAAGTCCCGAAATTCTTAGCTGTAATGGGATTCTACTGTCATTCAAGAATTCCCATTAGAACACCGTTACTTTCACTGTACGAAAGTCTTTCTGTCACATAAATACAGTACATTATTTAGTTCCAGATTTGAATTTCCTTCTACATCAACATTCTGCGCGTACCTCAAGAACAGGGCACCTCAATAGGGTTTGCGTAACATCAATTTAACATGCAATTTCGCAGCATGTCTGAAAAGTCTACTTCTAGATCCAAAGCTTCACAACTTTTTGAGGTGTAGTTTGAAATATTTATTCACCACTCCAAGGGTTTGCAGCAATAGTTACCTTGCGACGTTTGAATTCTCAGGGCGGGGACTTATTCACTTGCACTCCCACTTCCACACGACTCATGTTTACATTAGGATTTCCTATTTTTTTACTACAGATCAATTTGCGCCGCTTCCTGCTTTCACGTTTTCACAATTCCCGTTATGGGATGACAACATCCTAAGTCACCTCCATCCACCTATCTTTGAATAAGTCAAGATAATATAACGTAAACGCTTCGAGAGAACAAGGCTATTTAAACACTTGACGAAACTTTTTGCACGGTACTACACGCACTGAGTCCATTCCACAAATCAGCCTCCGCATCCTATGCATGTACTGTAATGAACGACATGCAAGGTTATCCTTGATTCCAGGACAACTGCCAGGTGTTCATGCAGTACCGCCACAGGATCACGTACCATGGGTTGGATGATATACTTCATGCAACCCCTGTCCAAGTGCGGAAAAAAAAAAAGACGCACAGACACATCTGACTCGCTTCGAACACCGCCAAAAACGGGGCGAGACACACTTGCAATCCCCTCACATTCCACCATCACCGGCGGAATCGATGAGACACTCACGCCAGCAAGGGAGCAAGAACAAGGAAAGAAAGAAAGAGAGATGTACTGTACTGTACAGTAGAAAAGAAGGCAACACGAAAAAAAATCCCCCAGATGCACGAGATTGCCAGGGAACAAAATCACAGCACTGCTCACTGCTCACAAATGCATTAGCGTTCAATGCGTTCGTTGAGCCGACCGACCGGCCGGCAGCTATGTGTTTCCTTCCTTGGTTCTTTCTTTCTTTTCTTTCTTTCCTCCTGTGCTCTTCTCCACCACCACTCCTCTCCATCCTGCCATTTCCCCTACCCACCATGCACGCAGTTCACCTCGTTTTTTGCTTCTACTCCTTCAAAACCAGGGAAATGTATATCTGTCCGCTAGCAGCAGCACCACTAACTCACAGAACCTTTTTCGGGGATACCAACGCTAATCGCGCCCGATGGGAGCAGCAACACAAATAAGGGACACACACACCAGCACTTGTGGTACGTTATAGACTACATAGAGCAAAGATAAAAATAGAGGACCATCCCGTTTCACCCATTCTTGAGGTAGGGAGAGAAAAAAATGAGGGCAAGTTTCAGTTATGGGATTCACATACCACATTTCAGTGAACCTGGCCCTTTGAAGAATGTACACACACAGCACCTCTTTGAATAACTGATGCCCCCCCAAAACAGTATGTACAGAAATATTCAACAGGTGGAATTGCAAAAATATCAAAAAATCTATAAACATCCAAATATTGTACCATTGACTTCAGAGTGATGTGGTAGCCACAAAATATCTTTCTACGTCTGAAATGAACATTACGCCAGATTTTGGAAGATATACCTGAACTTGTACAGTACTTGAAAATGGGAACAATGCTCACCGAATACAAGTTACCCGAACATTTTGAAGAAGGCTACACTGATAAAGAGATAACAGCACCCAGTAGAAATGTGGTCAAACCTAATTTAGTGTAATCATTTGTCATGTCACATTTTGTGGAACTATCAAGGGTGGCAATAAAACCACCATACGGTAGTCAAATAAAATCAAGGCTTTGTTCTGGGCTTATATCTTAGGAAAAATAAGCTTGTCCAGAGACTTGTTGGTCCACTGAGTTCATTTTGGAAGAGAGGTCACAAAAATAACTTAGAACTCAAATGATCTGCTTTGTACTCAGTACAGTAAAACAGTTATATTAAACCAAACTGCTCCACTTGTCTCAGTGGCTTTGTTGTGTAACAAAAATTTCTCACACAACAATGAATTTAGTAAGAGAGCAGCTTTTTTCTTATAGATTTGTTTGGG